ATTTGAGAGGGCAGCCATAGCTTCCAGGCTGGAAAAGGCTAGATAGGTGGGACAGTTGGGAGTCCTCCTGGTAGGACAGGCCCAGATGGCCTACCGTGCCATGACTCAGATAGATGCACAAGATTACGACAAGGTGAAAAAAGAAATGTTGTTGAGACTCAACATAACCCAGAGAGACACCGACAGGGGCAAGAAGAGTAAGGAAGAGAGGTTACCCCGTGCTCTATGGCAGCGCTTAGCAAACTTGCCAGACAAATGGCTGAGGCCAGAAACTTTAACCAAAGAAGAAGTCTGTGATGAAATACTACTAGAGCAGTTCCTCACAGACCTGGAAGACCATACACAGAGGTGGGTTCAGTGCCACTGTCCAAAATCCTCCCTCGAGGCCCTTCAGCTGGCAGAAGACTTTGATGCAGCACAGGGAGAGATTAGCTGGGATAGAAGCACCAGGGGAACTGGGACTAATTATGCCTGAGAGACAGAGTGCAAAAGTGAAGGAGTGGACCTACTACATCTAGTTAAAAAACCCAATACTATGTCAAGCAATAATTTAGGCAGAAAAAAGTCACCATTTCTTAATTATTAATAACTTTGTTTAATTATGTCTTAATTTCTTCAAATCTTTGCAGAAGATTTCACTTGAGTGTTAAGTACATACAAAGTTTAAAGAGACTGGTTTTCTTTTGTTACTTAGGATATTTGGACCAAAGGGGGCTCGTGTGTGCTATGTTTCTTAAAGGAAACATTTTAAAATCCATTTAAATACATTAAGTCACAGATTTACTTGCAGGGGAATTCTGTATTCAAAAAGTAAGTCCTGGAAATTGAGGCGGGTGCATCGTATTTGTTATAACTAATAAAGAGATGGAGTCCCTACATTACATGCAAAATTCGACTGCCTCAGCTATGAACTTGAGATTGATTGAGCCTATGAATTGAACACCAAGGATGCATCCAAAAAAGTGCGGACATGCAATATGTGATACCACATACCCGTCTACAGTGCCACACTACACGCATGCAGGCATTTCCCGCATTGCTACTTTGCAGCACAGGGTTTTTTTTACTTCGGGATTTCCTCTGGTCAAAAAAAAACATGCCAAAAAAAAAGTGGGGCAGCACACGTAGCGGCAGCACGTGTCACCTAAAACCGGAGCCTGGCCAGCCAGAGCCACTCTGGCTGCTAGTGAGTCTTCCTGCTCCAGGAGCACTGTGGCTGCAGCTCCTTGAAGTCCCCATGACCCCAGGTAAGATTGCTGGGACCAGGACAGTTGCTGGCCCTCCCCTCCACTATCCCACCTGGGGTAACCTGCCATGTGCCAAAATGCATGTGGTATGGGAGTTCCCTGGTGGCAAGTAGCAGCGGCACAAGATGTACCACTGCTACATGCCCCCAGAGGAAACGCACATTTCTGCTCATCTGGACATGCCCAAGGTGTTATTTTAGAGCAGCTTTCCTAGTTTTACTGTGTGTTAGGTAGAGTATTTAATACCATAAAGCTGTAACATAGAAGGCTTATTTTTTTAAAAAGTTGGTTTAATTTAATTCTCCTTGAGCCATTAAATTGTGCTAGTAAGGGTATTTATGAAGTAGTTGTGTTATATAATTTTATGCAAACATTAGGATCTCATATACCATTCATTATCTCATATTTACATTTTTAATGTCTGTATTATAAGTACAGCATATTTTGTTGAGGCCATGTTGCTTAGCTTACTGTAACATTAATGCTCACTTTGTGTAGGTGTCAGTCAGAACTTACTTGTGAAATGAAAACTGACAGAATAGAAATGAGAAATTGGATAAGATGGGAATCAAAACAGAGAGCTGGCATTGTAGATCACTTAGTTATAATCTAATATGTTTTAATTGGCTGGCATTCAGGTTGTGCTTCAGTTATGTATCCCACTCTGGAATAAAAATCTGATTGTGAATATTAATCTACTGTGTAAATGCTGCACACTTCACTTTATTATAGAAATCTGGGTTCTGGGTGTTTTGCTTTACCATTACTTTTTCTGTATTAGGTCACATCAGTTTATCACACCAGAATGTTACACCAGAAGTCCAATTTTTGGCCAGTACGGGTGAAATACTGACCCTACAGATGTCAGTGTGAGTTTTGCCACTGATTTCAACGGAGTCAGGTTTTCATCCTAGATGGTTATAAATGAAATGTGTCTCATCTGAGTACCATCCAGTGGATGTATATATTTTAGCCAAGTTTAAAATAACATAAACGGTGTTAGGAAGAACCATGGGACTTCTCTCTTGCAGGGAAATGTCCTAATCACCAAGCTAGAGACATGCTCACTCTTACTCCATTCTAGCACTGTTTATGCATATGTGGTCATTGGTTAAAACAATAATAATGTGGTAGGAGGAACTATGTTCCAGGACTTTTCCCTCCCTGGGTCATGCCCAATCACTAGGCAGGGGTGTCAAACATATGGCCCATGGGCCAGATTGACCCATGGAGCTGTATGATCTGGCCTGTGGGTTGCTGGACTGACTTCATGTGCTGGCCTCAGCCCTATGTGCTGCATGTGGTATGCAGGCTGGACCTGATGCCATGCTTCCTGCATGCAACACAGTGTATGCTGTATATGGCACCTCACCAGACTGGCCCTGCACGCTGGCTCTGGGGCTAGTTTGGATTGGGCCATGCTGGAGCTAGTGTGTAAAGTGGGTTCTTCAGGCTGTGGCATGCAGTACACACCCTGTGACAGCCCAAGGTATGTGGGACTGGCATGGGGCATGTACTGCTGGATCTGGCTCTGCACATGACACAAGGAGTCTGGGGCACTTACTGCATCAGTTTTGATTTGATTTCTATGCTGCTGTTGTTAGTCATGACTCACGTGTTTTGTGCACTCAATGGCTCTTGTCTCTCCAGGGCTGGAGGTAGAATTTGGACTTTTGCATGAGCAGTGTGAATCACAGAGGAGTTTAGGTGGGAATGAGGGAGGAAGGTAGCTTCTTGGGGTCAGTTCTGATCATAACAGGAGCCTGAGTAAAAATGCTGAATTCCAAAAGAGGCATATACTGGATTTAAGCCCATGGCTAAATATAGTCAAAAAGCCCGAGGCTGAATCGATTCAGTCTTTGCAGGGTAGTCTAAGATGCAGAGATTAAACTGACTAACAAGTGAACAGACATTACTTTTTGTAGCCACAAGCCTACAGTGACTCAGGCCAAAACCTGGGGAGTGCTAGAGCATGGCTGTCTGGCAGGTGGCCAGCATGGGTTGTGTGTTCACTTTCTCTTCTTGTTGCCTCCACGGTCTCTGAGATTTGCAGTCCAGAATCACAACAACACTTCTTCCTGCTTCCAGGTGCCTCTGGGATTTGTATTCCATAGTTTATAGCCAGCAGTAACTTTAGCAGGGCAGGGCAGCTCTGTACTCGGGAAAAGGGGGTTTTAAACCCCCTCCCTGGCTCCAGACCCCAGCTGAGGTTTGCTGCGGGCCAGGGGAGGGGGGGCAGTCCCTGCCCTGGAGTAGACAGCACAGCCCAGCCCAGGGCTGGAAAGCATGCTGGGATGCTGGGGGACTGTGATTTAACATGAACCAGGAAGGGGTCTAGGACAGAAGTTTCATAAACTGGCTTGACCCAAATCAGTTAAGTCTGATACTACATTTAACCAGGTTTATCTTAAACCAGTTTCAGTTTGAAACTGGTTTATGTGCACTGAACTTCTGTTCCGTTACAGGTTTAAACCAGTTTCTGATGACTTAAACTGGTTTATGTGTAACTTTTCTCACTAGCCATGATGAGTTTTCAGTTGCTCCCTAGGGCTGAAGTGTCTAACTCCCACCCCAGTCCAGGTTCTGTGCTAATTGAGGCGATTTCAATCTAGCCTTCCCTGTTTTAAAGTGAAAGCTAAGAGTTTCATGTAACCAGAATTCCAAGAGCTGAAATTTAAAGAAAATGAAAACCAGCAAATAACATAAGAGTCACAGTAAATTTGTGAGCTTCTGATGCTACCTAAAGTTATAGGTATATATGTCAGTTTCAGAATGATGAGACTTATTAATATCACCATCTCTCTTCTCCATCCAAATCTGTTGTTTATGTAAGCACCACAAATGAAGGGCCTGTTCTACAGTCCTTGCTCTTGTGAGAAACACCATTGAAATGACTGGACCTGTTTCTGATCTCACACCAGGGTAAATGAGGATTATTACAGGTTATGCTGTATGCTGTCTTTAGGCTATGGGCACACATACTGCCAATAATCTGTATTCTGAAAATATATTGAGAAGCTGAATGTTTTTGATTTAGCTCTGGCCTCTGGAAATCTCCTAGGCCATAATAAGGTTCTAAAGTATGTGAGCAGCTTTGCACATGTATTCCAAGTCTGTATTTTTGAAGTTAGGCAGGAGTTGGCTAAATGGCAGTGACACAGTTCATGCTCTGTAGCCATGTTTATGTTGAGCCAGGAATGGGGAGTTTGGGAAAGTGATTGTTTCTGAAGTATATTGTGTGTGAGAGCAGTTTAAGGTTACATACATCCGTGAAGGCCTGCAGGGGCACAATGCAAATGTAGCACTAGCTTATGCTCATTTTGGAGGGAGAAGTAAAGAGTGCATGTAATAATACTGTACATAGTTGAGTATTGACTTTGTGTTTTGGTGTACATGAAGATTTATTGTCCCTTGAGGTAAATATTTATCTCTTGGATCAATGCATTTTGATTTTTCAGTTCAAGTCAAGTCAATATTTGTTTACCAGACCAATACAACCCTGAGGTCTAAGCAGGGATTTAGAAAGTGGAATTGCTGGTGCTTTATATCTTTGTACTGAAACAAATATTACTTCATTTTAGGCACATTTTAAGATAACAGATCATATGTCTCATAATATGTTGTTCTTATAAAATATATTAGTCAACATTTTTAACTTACTTTTAAGTTAGTCTTTGTATTTAGAAAAAACTATAAAGGTTTTAAAATGTATTTCTTTTTTTTAATGTAATGCATGGATATATTTTCTTTCAGGTGGCCTGGCTTTAGCTCAGGTACTATTCTTTTATGTGAAATACTTGGTTCTCTTTGGTGTTCCTGCACTTATTATTCAAATGGATGGACTCAAACCTCCTGCCTTACCTCGTTGTGTGAGCACAATGCATAGTTTCACTGGAATGTGGAGGTCAGTGGGTTTCATTTATTACTGATACGTGATAGTAAAAGTTTCAGTAAACTCATGAAGTATGCATTGTAATTAGGGACCTACTGAATGTTTTGTGGTTTTTGTGGATTCTTCGAAATCTGGCATTGCTTGTGAAATCCGAGGGTGGGGAGGAGGGAACTTACAGAAAAATAAATGCTTGCTCCTCAGAGGTCACTCCCGCCCTTCACTGCTGATTGGCTATGAGGGCTACCTGTCATGTGGCCCTGCCCATGACATGACTGTCAGTCATGCAGCCCCACCCTCACCCCACCAATTGGTGGAGAGGGGCAGGGAGACATGACAGGCAGCCCCTGCAGCCAGTCAGTGGTGAGGGGCAGGACCACTGGAGCCCCTCAGCCAATTAGAGACCTGGGGGAGCCTGCTGTACTCCACCTGCAAAATGGGTGCCTGGGCCTATGTTCCGCCCATGAAACCGGAGAGCAGCTCCCACAAATTAGATAGGCACTTAATTATAATCTGTGTAAGCAAGTACCATATATAGAGTAACTTGCAAACTTAACAGTAGAGTTTTGTATGCGTCTGAATGTAAATATGTGAGCCTGTTCCTAACTAGTCTTCATCTTGTCAATGTTTGCAGCACACTTGAGTTTGAAGGTTTCCCTTACCATGCCAATGGGAAGTTTTCCTTTCAGGGTTGTTACCATCTTAATGATTAAGATGATATCCAAGCTACATCATTCCACTAAGCTAACAATTACTTTCTCCACTGCTGATGTTTATTAAATATGATGCATTTTTTTCAGTCTTGGTCCAAAAATCACAAATCAGTTTAAAATTCAGCCAGAGAAAGATGAATTATATGCATTTAGTTACTGTATTATAAAACCTGTGGATATGAGATTTAATATGAAAACCATATAGACATTTATTTACATGCGAATAGTGTGCATTTATGTGTGTATTAAATCAGTGAAGTGTTGTAGGGCAGGGGTGGGCAAAATACAGTCCACAGGCTGAATCTGACCTGCCAGGCCATTCTATCTGGCCCGCGGGGCACCTACACAGTTTAGAAAATTAATATTTATCTGCTCCAGGCTACCTGTCAAAGACAGGAGCCAGGGGCAGTAGGACCCAGGAGAAGCTGGCAAGAGTCAGGAGAAAGGACAGCCTGCACAGCCCCATGCCCAGCCTCCACCCAGAAGTGTCTGCCTGTGGCAGCTATCCCTACACACGGCAGGCTGCTCCAGCACCACGTGGCCCCTGGCTGCATCATTGGATCATAGGAGCAGGGGCACGCTGGTACCCCGGGGCCAGGAGGGGTGTGTGTGTATGCATGCAATGAGGGAGGAGGAGAGAGAGAAAGATCAATGAGGCAAGCACGCTCTGTGTGTGTGTGTGTGTGTGTGTGTGTGTGTGTGTGTGTTTATGGTGAGTCTCACAAGCACCCCCACCATACACATGCACACACACCGCCCCTCACCCTGCCATACATGCAGACGCCATGCTCACACCCCCTCACACAGCCCAGCCACCCCATACACATCCCCCACAAACCCCATACCCACCCACACCCCATATGTCCACACACACCCACAAGCTCCTTCAGTGCACACCCACCCCCACACCTATCCAACCCTACATACACTCACACCCTCTTCCACATACCCACAGACCCTCACAGACCTATACCCACCCCCATGCCCTGCACAGTTTACAAGAGTAAGACTTCATTTTAAGCTATTGTACGATCCCCTCTATGTACACTACACAAAGGCATGTAAATCAGGAGAAAAAGATTTTTTGAAATCAAATTATTGAATGTTGTAGATGTATGATTTTTAGAATATAATTTGGCATTTTTCTGGTTTTGAGATGGCACAACCCCTTGCTGAAAGGAGTACTTCTGGGGGCAAGGGGAGGGACTTCTGGTGGCAAAGGTTGGGGGTTAGGGGGCGGGACTTCCGGTCCCAAGATGGTAACCAGGGGGTGGGGCACCTGTGAAGGGGCGGGGCTACCCTTGCAGCCCTTGGCAGCTTGCTAAAACTCGGTAAGTGGCCCTCTGTCTGAAACAATTGCCTGCCCCTATTGTAGGGTGTTAAAAGCAATAGTTATCCATATTTTAGGCTACCATTATGATGTTCCTCTAGGATAATTAAACATAAATATGGAATATCAAAATCAAAACCATGGTTGTGAAATTTGCAGTTGCTTTAAAACAGTGGTTCTCAACCTTTTTTTAACTCAAGACAGCCCTCCATAGACTCAAGGCATCCATCCCTAACTTTTGTGAATTGAGCAGCACCCCATTTCAGAAAGTAATTTTCTTTTCTTTTTCCTTTTCTTCTTCCTTCTATCCCTCACAGTCGAGGATGATTGTCTTCCACAATTGTCTTATCTGTGTGTCTGAAGATGGCCGATGAGGCTTATCTGGGATTGACAGACTCTTCTACAACTCAGACATGTTTCCTTTTGGGGTGGGTGGCACTGGTTTCTTGGTTTGGTCCACAACACACTGATTCTGGCACTCCTTCTTTTTCATCTCCTGTTGCTGTGAGGTTTCAAAGTAGTGAGAACCCTGTAGCAGACCAGTCCTGGGCAATGATCTTCCATGAATTGACATGGATGCTGCAATTTTTAAAGTTGGCCTTGAGGACATCCCTGAAGTGCTTTCTCTGCCCTCCCCTTGACTGTACACCTTGTCTGAGCTGGGAAAATAAAACTTGCATCAGGAGTCTAGAGTCAGACATCCAGATGACATGGCTAGCCCAATGAAGTTGATGTTAGATGATCATTCCCTCAGTACTCATGGTGTTTGCTTGCAGGAGGATGCTAATGTTGATGCATCTGTCTTCCCACTAGATTTGGAGGATCTTCTGCTGGCAGCATTGATGGTACTTCTCCAACACTTTACAAGTCGTCTGTACATTGTCCATGTCTCAGCTCCATACAGCAAGGTGGGGATCACAACTGCTTGACAAACCATCAGCTTGGTTTTGGATTTGATATTGTGATCTTTGAACACTTGTTTCTTCAGGCGTCCAAAGGCTACATTTGCATATTTGAGGTGATGTTGGATTTCTTTGTCAATGTCAGGCTTCCATGAGAGATGGCTTCTGAGGTATGGTTCTCCAGAGTCTCACCATGGATCTGGATTACTGGAGCTGGGGACTGTTCATTAGGAGTTTGTTGGTAGAAGACCTTAGTCTTTTGAATGTTAAGCATCAGTTCCATTTTCTTGTATGCCTTGGTAATGATGTTGACAATTGCGTGAAGGTCTGCTTCCGAGGGAGCACACACTACAGCATCATCATCATACTGAAGCTCAATGATTATTGGAGCTCCTCGCTGTCCTAAACTGGTGGAGAACCAATATGCCACTGTCATCAGTGCATATGCCTCGACTCTTGACACTGCCAGTGAAACCAAGAAGGAATTCTATGCCAACCTTGATCAACACTTTTCTGACATTCTGGAGGGAGATGGACTTATTCTTCTTGGTGATTTCAATGCCAGAGTTGGAAGGGACTCTAACCTCTGGAACGGAACCATTGGGAAAGAGTAGGAAAGTTCAACTCCAGTGGTATCTTCCTCTTGACGAAATGCACAGAACATGGTCTCACCATCAACACCATGTTCCTCCAGAAAAACAGGCACAAGACATCATGCCAACACCCAGGATCTAAGCATTGGCACCTGATTGATTATGTCATCATCTATGCCCAGGATCACAAAGATGTCCATGTCTTCTGAACTATGCTAGGGCTGATGATTGCTGGACTGATCAGCTGACTCATGTCCTTGGTTATACCACTCAAACTGGCTCCCAAATGATGGCTGCAGCAGAAACAGTGCTGATAGAAGACCAACATTGAAGGACTCAAGGACCCAAGCAAGCAAGACCTCTTCCACCAGTGCCTCAATGAAAAACTGGTGAATTCCAATGAACAACAATGGGAGAATATTAGCAGCATGTGGGGTGCCCTTAAGGCCACATCATCAATGCCTGTGAAGAGATAGTTGGATTCTGTACCAGGAAACATCAAGGTTGGTTTGATGAGAATGACCAGGAGATGCTAGAGTTGATCAAATGCAAGTGCTTGGCAAGGTGATGTCAACTCCAAACAAAATAAATTGAATCTCCAAGAAGCCAAGGCAGAGGTCCAAAGGAGGACCTACAATATGAAGAACAAATGGTAGGAAGACAAGGTTAAGGAGATTCAACAGCTCACTGACATCCATGATATGCGCGGTTTCCTCAGTGCCACTAAAGCCATCTATGGTCTGAGCACTCAGGGACCACTCCCCTTGAGACCTAAGGATGGAGGAGACCTGATCAAGGAACTCATTTATTACAGTGCTGGGCAGTGGGGACAGAGTAATGTCTAGGCAGGGACGGAGCCTGAGCCTCTGCTTATGTACTTATCTCCTCACACCTGGCTTATTTCCTTCCACCTCAAAACACCCTTCAAAAGACATTGTGGCACCACTGGGTGCTCTGGCACCATGGTTGAGAATCACTGTTTTAAACAAATACGACTCTAAGGGTTTAGATGAAGGGACACTTCCCTTATTTTGTGCATCTACAGCGTGTTTTATGAGGGGCTTCTCCTAGTTAGGGCTTCTAGGCACTGTTATGGAACAAATACATCTTTTTCTTTTTTCATAATAAAAATAATAGGACCATGTACCATATTAATATTAGGGCTGATTTGGATGAGACATTTTTTGCCAAAAGAAAGAGACTTTATGATTTACTGTAATTTTCCTTTGTGAAGATAGAAAGTATTCAAAGGAGTAGGGTGTGCGGGCTGGGAGCGACCCGAGCCCTTTTCCGTGCTGCACGCGGGCTGCGGCCAGCAGCCCGGGCACGCTGGATCGGAGAGGGAGGGCGACGAGCTGGAATTAGGCACAAACGCTTAGCGGTAGTTTTAAAGATTGTTTACTTACACCGAGATGGCAGTGGTGTAGGCTGGAAAACTTGTTTGAGTTGCGGTTACAGACACAGACAACATGGACGA